AATATTTTCATACTATAAAAAAATAATTAATTTAATAGATAAAGTATTTCGCGTTCTGATTATTCTTATCCCTAACATCTAATAGTTTGATGAGGGATGGAATAGGAGTTGAGATCAACTTCCTTAACCCATAAATAAGGGGACATATAATAAAGGATTATAATATCATTAAATTAGAGATTTGGTTATGATAGCAACATCTAATAATTTGATTATGAAGGTTAAAGGAGTTGAGACCAACATACTTCACCAAACAAAAAAAAAGAGAAACTTTAATTAAGCAACAATAATTGATCATTATATTAATGAAAAACTTTTAATTATTAATTAAGATATTGTTGATGCAGGAGCAAGTTTGTTGGTAGGGAGAGAGAGGGGATACATAATTTAATTTGTTTATTACTAAATATATATAAATATAAATGACGTAGAAAAATAAAATAGAAAACAAATAGAAGAAAGTGACATTTACTATTATATCTTTTGATGAGAAACTTTTAAATGATAATTTTTCTTATAAAATCATCAGTATTATGCTCATACTAAACAAAATTCTCCAACTTTGATTTATTATTTATAAAGTTTTCATGCTCAAATTTATTATTTATAAAGTTTTGAACGATGTATTGCTCGCTAAATTTATATTTAAGTGAAGAGAAGTAAAAGAATATGATTGTTATACATTACTTTTTATTTTTAGTTAAAATGGGTAAAAGGATGTGGCCATACTCTATTATTTATGGAATTTTGAACGTGCATCACTCTCTAAATGTATATTTAAATGAAAATAATGTAGAGGATTAAAATTCATTAATTATGGACTGAGTCCAAAAAAATCTCTATTATCAATACAAAAAAATATACTCATTTTGTTCATTTTTAATTTTTAAATTGTATTTTTTGAAAGTCAATTTAATTAATTTTTAAAGTTAAATTATATTAAATTGATTAAATATTTTAAATAAAAAAATTAAATATTCAAAAAATTATACGAAAAATGCTATAAATTATAATTTTTTACATATAAATATAATTAAAAAATACATTGTAAAATATTAGTTAAAACTCTAAAAAAAGAAAACTATAATAATTAAAAGAGGACAGAAGAAATAAAAACAAAATTCACTAAAATTCCATTTTCCAAGAATGTAAAATAGTAGTTATAACTAAAGATTTAATACTTTTTTAACAATAGCAGTAAAAATGTCCAACAGAATGTCTCCTTTACAAAACATTTCCACAATCAAGAAGCAAACTCACTTTTTTTTTTTGGTTTATTTGTCATCTCAATTACTCCATATACTACTCTTGAGCAAAAGTAGAAAATTAAAAGAAGTCCAAAACATTAATGAGAAAAAATTATGAACAATAAAATTGAAAGCTCATGAACATTCCAAAAGGACCATAGTTTATATTGTATAGGAACAAAGAATAAGTAAGAAACAACAAAAACTTCTATAGAAGTGAAAAATGAACAAAACCATCTAGAACGGGTTCCAACGGAATGATTACCGCTCCTTCATCCTTAATTAAGGAGAACAATACAAGTTTCGAATGAGAAATATCCTTCATTTGAAAGCCTTTGAGACTTTCATTACGCGAATTTATATTTCATCGGATTCTACTATAAATATCGAACATCAGATGAGATGAAACAAATAGAGGACCTAGATTTTCCCAATAAACATTTCAGACATGCCAAACACTCCAAATACTTTCACCAAGAAAACTAACAAATCTTCTAACAGAACCTAATTCCTCTTCTCTAACATCATCATAACTTGTTGAATTTTCCTCTAAACAAATTTCATTATTTTTCTCAATTCCACAAGAACTTCTATTCTTATTCCTCCTTTGTTTCTTGTTTTTCCCCTTTTTTTTCTCCAACACCATATTTTCAAAAGCATCTATAATCTCATGAATAAGTTGATGATTTGGAGATGAATCCCATTTCACCCAATAACTCATATAACAATTAAAACAATAACAACTTTTGTTGTTGTTGTTGCTGTGAGTAGTACAATTTCCAAGATTATTGGAGAAATTGCTAGAAGAACAAGAAATTAAATATGACAAGATTTGTTTGTCTTCTTGAGATAAAGATGTTGTTAGTGTTAAGATTGTTGTTGGTAATAAAGAAAGTTGATGGTCTGGTTGTGTAATTGGATGAATTGTGGATTTTCTATAAGGATTGTTCTTCATAGTTATATTTTCAAAGAAATGAAAATACTAAGAAAAATTGAAAGAATTTGAGGTTTTTTTGTGGTTGAAGAGGAACAGGTGATGAGGCCTAGTTTTATATGAGAAGAGAAAAGAGAGAGGTGGTGTATGGAAGTTGATGATGACAACATTTTGGTTTTATTTTAATAGTAAATGAATGATGATAGGGTTTGAGGAGTGTTTACCTATGGACAAGAATTGACTTGTCATCCTCCCTCCGTAACAATTTATTTGTCTGATTTGAACTTGACATAAACTTTAAGAAATAAAATTTACATTAGTCTTAAACATGCCAATTGCTTTGTGAAAAGTTTGAAATAAAATTGTGGTCAAGAATGAAAAAGATATCCTTTTTTAAATAAACGAAAAAAGAAAAGTAAAACAAACAAATTCAAACTCAGGTTCATTCCAAAATACTATGTTTGAAGTAATCATTCATTTTTTCATTTAAATTCAACTGATGTTATTATCATACCAAATAAAAATAAGTTAAATATATTAATAATAAGAAAAATAATATGAAAGTTCTCTAATAATATTATATCCTACCCTGCACTAGTACATATCATCTATATATGAATCTTATTTATCACATCTTTGGCCAAGTCTATAGTAATCCTAAAAAGATTATAAATTTTTATTTAATGTTTATCGAGTCACCTGTGATGCAATGGTCTGACTGAGTTTGTGGATCAGTCTTACAGATGGGTTATGGGCAGAAAGAGACTAGGGTTTTGTTGGATCTTCTGAGTGTAACGTATCGAACGGAATACGGAGCAAGCAAGTTGTCTAGGCAAGCTGATAGATGAAGGGCTAAAGGATGAAACATGCAAAGTAGATCGTGGATCTACCATGTTCGACCTGTTGGTTCTAAGCAATGTCTTGTGTGAAAGTGAAAACTTGAATCACACATCATCCATGTGTCAGGTTGCATATACAATGATGAATAATAATGGAAACTATGTTTGTTGAGCTATGACATAAATAACAAAGTATAGAGCAATTTTGCAAGATTGAGCAAAGTTCATTGCATAAACAAGTGAAAAGCAAATGTAGCATTCCTACAATTCAACAGCAGATACTGAACTATAGTATTGAATGAAATAAGATACAAATGCAACAGTACAGGGACATTTCAAGAATTGTTTCAAAGAGAATTTCTGATTCAAGATTCGAGCTACTTCAACTCATCGCTTACTGAACAACCATGAAAAGCCTAAGTTTTCACAGACATGTAATATCATGTTCGAAGAAATTTTAAACTGCAACAAGATTTTATATCATTAGTAGAGATCCATCGGCAAAGTTATTCACACAAAAGTGGTCGTGCTGAGGTATTGATTCAAAAGCTTTAAATAAATAAACCTTTAGCTGGCTCCAACTTGCTTAGAGTTGAGGTGTAGTAGTTGTTGTCGTAGATATTTATGTTTCCACATGAACAAGAAGCAACACTGAGTATATTACCTACTAATCAAGGGCCATATGGTCTGATGCTGCAGCATGATACCCCTCAATTGTTTGTTTCATATTGTCGAACTGAGAAATCACATAATCGAGTTTCTTGCAACAGATCTCATTTGATATTCTTGGTACATAGTCACACTTCTCAAAAGGACGATATTCACATGCACTTTTGATTTCTTCTCGCAGTGTGACTTGGATGTCCTGTTGTAATTAGTAAAATATCATCCATTTAGTTCTTAAACTGATCTAGTTCCAATCAGATCTCAAGTTACAGACGGTATTTCCAGACAAAAGATAATATTAAACTGGCCACGACAACAGCAGACTAGCTAGCTCGCAACGTAAAAGTTCACAAATCAAACCAAACCAAAATTGTCCATTTTTACCTTGATACGTGGAACAAAAGTTCAAATTTAATAACAACCAGCAAATAAATACACATAATAGAAGGACCCAAAACAGCATGTAAGCATGAGAATAGTCATCGAATCATACACTCAAAGCCAAGGGGTGACAAGAAGAAAGTTTAACGGCTTTGTATTACACATTACATGGTTTTCTATCCTGTTTCTTACAAAGGTTTCAAGAATATCTAGGTGCAAAGAAGTAAAGTATGTCCTTACCTTGATTAGTTGCATGAACTCACTACAATGGTTGTTAATAAGCTCCTTCCTGGGGCCGCTCGGATTTGCCATTTCATCCATTACACCTCCTGCTAGCTCCAGAACTCTGACTATCCTCTGCAAGCATCAGAGGAAGATACAGCAACAGAAGGTATGAGAGTAATGTTTCAGTTACAATTTTTTCTATCAAGAAAAGTGATTACTGACTCCGCATTGAAAGTTATGATCGTGATTTACTCATCAAATTACGATTAGTTGCCTTTGCACTTGACATGCTATATCATCTCCACGTTTTTAATCTGAAGAAACCAATGACTAGGAAACAACAGAGATGCTGTTTCCGTTAGACCAGAGAAAACTCGTGTCAGTAGATATTCAGGGCATATGACAGGACGATCTCGAATACGATTTGATTTCCAACTGTTGAAGATCAGCCTGGAGTTTGTGGAAGATACTCAATGAGCCAGACAGGAAGAAAGCAACCAACAGAAGCAGAAGTTTGAAAAGCCCTTTCAGATCCTATTCTCGGTCCACAGCGTCTTTGATTTATTCATCATTGTCGTCATCTCAACACTATTCCCATCTTCATTCTCTGACTTCGAATTATATTATTTTGGCTGATTTGAGGATGGGTTGAGTTGGGTTGGGTCAGCCCATTTTGACAGTTAGGTGGGTGACATGAAATTCTTAGTCATGGTTATCTAGCCAAGCGGCTCTTGTTCTCATTCATTTCATTTGTCCGGTTGTCCCAGAAATTGAAGGATCCGGAACTCCAGAAGGCTTAGGAGAGCTCAATGGTGGAGTCCCTTACCGAGGCATAACACCATCCATATATCTTCAAGCTTGTCTATGTGTTTCACCCAATCAACGAAATATGGATTTCACCTAAATTCAAAAAGTACTCTCCTCGCTCTCTTTCTTTCTTGAAACATTTTGGTATACAGGATAGGGGAACAAGTAACAAGGACTCGGGCAAGGAAGGAATAATATTGTAGTATCAATTCTGAAATCAGAACATTAAGTATTTTGATGACAAAGAATAGCAGCTACTGAAATCAACCCATCTTAAGTCAATAATCCTGTAGAAACATTTACCTTCTCAACATTTTGCAGCCGCTGCAATGAAGTATTCTGGCTTTGCGAATCCATGTATTCTGAGGGAAGCTGTCAGGACAGGAGAAAAAGATTACTGAATTGCAATGCCGTAGAGCGATCTAGATGTGGAGAAATAAACAGAATCTATAAAACCTGATTATGTGCAGTTTTCAGAGATTTTGGTTCTGAGATCTTTGCAGTCAAATAATTAAACAATCAGAAACCTAAATCCTCTGTAATCAATCCGAAAACAGAAGAAAAACTTACATCTAATAAGTATTATGTCCATTAAACTTACCACCCTACTACACTCTTTCAAGGTACGGGTTTGGCCGAAATCAACAACTTTTCTCTGAACTCTATATTTGTCTTAAGAAATCTATTTAATATGTATAAATTATTAATTTATAAGAGATTATTTTATCCTGCGTGTAGTTGGCAAGATGCAGGATAACAATCTCATGCGATATGTTCTAAAATGTTGAGATTGGCTATTCCATATAGAAGTTGGATAGCTGATCCCACGAGAGAAATCCTTGTCTATTCCATCCCCCATACCGAACGATCAAGGACTAGAACACTGAACCCGTAAACTTCAAATCCTAGCTCCGCCTTTACCCCCAAGACCTGCTGATTATCAAACGAGCAATCCTAACATTTCACCGTCTTCCTCTAGCATTTCTGCAAAGGGGCTATTTCCTTCGACACTCAAACCCATTGCCAGACTTGATTAATCACCCCTTACTGTTCAAATGGAATCATTTCGTTTTTTGCAATTTTCTAATTGTTCAATAGTCTTATAAATTTGAATTCAATTTTTCAAATTCTATCTCGGAGTAGCCATTCACTCAACTCCGAATGAGCTCTTTCGAATCGTTCAATAGCCCTGAACCTGAGATCTGCAGTTTATTAAACAAGCAACCAGTGATAGTCTTATGTTTCTTCGCTGTTCCAAATTTGTCCTACACTCTCAAAACCTCACTAATTTCATATTCCACTTACTTCATTAACTCTTTGTCATCTTCTCTCTTCTCCATTTTTTGGAGGAATTCATCACTCATATCTCTGACTGCAGCGGCTCAACCCTAAAGCCAGCCACTAAAGCAAGCAGTGGATTTAGGACCCAAAAAAATAAGGTCCTCAAATTACAAATCCCTGAAGCTCCGAAAGAACCAAAAAGCCCCAAATTCAGCTCAAATGCACAACGATATTTCATATCATGCATGAGTGAAACAAAGCTCAGATACAAATACAAATACATATAAGACGCACAGGCACGAAATATTTTTCTTATTATTAAAAAAGGAGCCAGCGAGATGTCTGATATCGGCATCTACAAGTGAGAAGTCAATCATACCTTACCTTCAACGGCGGCTATGAGTGGCAGAAGAACGGCAGTCACCGGTGGTCGGAGATAGTCTCAGCTCCGAGTTGTTGCCTGTAATTTTTATTTTTTATTTTTATCATACAAGCATGTAATTGAATAAACATATTGCTTAAATTAACGCATATTTTTTTTAAAAAAAAACATTTTTTCAATTTTTTATTTGTTTAATATGTTATAAAGGTTTTAAAAAAGATATAGCAAACAAAAAATTCAACATAGTGTGAAATTAGGTCTTAGGCGTAACTCACACCCCAAAAGCTAGCTCAAAAGGAAACTCACACCTCAAAAGCTAGCTCAAAGGGTGGAGGATTGCTCAAGCCTTATAAGGAGTTCACTCATCTCATTAATCACCGATGTGGGACTTTTTGTCATTCTTTAACACATAGAAACTATATAATTCTCTATACATATACAGTTGAAGCAAATTGTATAAAATGAAGTGTATAAAACAAAAAATAGAAAGACACTTGGGCAGAGAACTGTATAAAAACGAAGCGTATAAAGCAAATTGCATTATTATAAGTGTATAGAACGATTATATAAAATTTGAATTTGTATAAAATGAGAAAGAGAAAGACAAAAAAGACTTGACAAGGAATATACAATTGAATAGAATTGTATAAAACGAGAAAGAGAGAAATTAGATACAATTTGAGAATTGTATAAAACGAGAAAGAGAGAAAGACAAAAGAAATTGGGCAGGGTGGTATTTTTATTGTATAATTATAATTGTATAGGACGAAAATATATGTACTTGCATGTGTATATACAATTTTCTCATGCTTTATACAAACAGAAACGCAATTTATACATTTCGCTTTTGTTTGTATAAGTGAGAAAGGCGAGGGTGGCGAGCGAGATTTGGGAGAGTGGCGAGCGAGACCTGGAAGAGGGGAGAGAGAGGAACAAAAATATATGTATTTATACAATTTTCTCTGCTTTATACAATTAGAAACAATTTTTATACACTTGTGTTTGTGTAAAAAGTGAGGAAGCGAGTGAGAGATTGGAGGAGAGTGGCGAACGAGATTTTTGGGATAGAGGCGCCTGACAATTTTTTTGCAAACGTTTACTATGAAGCATAATTAAATCAAACCCTACCTACTCTATTTATTTTAGGTTATTAGTTTGCTATATACAATTTTCCCTTTAAAAATACATTTGCTGATTAAATGAATATATACTAATCTAAAAACTATTTATTTTCAAAAACGTTTTCTTAAAACAAGTTTTTTAAAAAAACTTTTTAGCAAATTCATTTGAAAAGTGTTTTTATAAGCAATATGTGTTTGACTAATTTTTTTAAAAAGTGTTTTTATAAGCAATTTGTGTTTGAATAATTTTTTTAAAAAGTGTTTTTGAAAGTCAAATTACGAAAAAAAACAAATATCGATGTGCTTTTAATATTAAAATTATTTTATAGAGAGAAACTATTTTAAACATTTAATACATAAAATTTAATTATATTTTTAATTTAATCACTTGAAATATACATATTCAAATTTTCAATCAATATTGTAAAAAGATAAATATTGTTGAAATCTTTTTGCGAAGAAGAATATTTTTGTTATTTATTATCTATTTTTCGAATTCAATCTTATCTATCATTTTTTTCTTTTTTATTATAATACTTTAAAGTTTTAAAAACACAATCTAAAATAAAATAATATGCCAATTAAGAAAAGAAAATTTGTTATTTGTTATTTTTGGGAGGGTCTAAATCTTTCATTTTCAATTTTTCTCTTTTTTAATCCAATAAAAATATCGACATTATTATTATTTCTAATTCTGTAAAATAATACATAAAGTAATATGTATAATATAATACATATATAATATTGTAGTCAGTGAAATTTTATTGATAAATTTATACTAAATTTGAATTAAATCTTAAATCCATGATGCGTCGATCGAGTCCAAATTATATTTGGGTCAGTCCATTAAGTTTACGAGACGAGCCCAACTCATGCTCTTCAAGCCCAATGACCAAAATTGCTTGGACAAAAATACTCCTATAACCCTAGCTCAAGCCTATATAAAGAGGTCTTCATACGACCGAAAAAAAGAAGGGAAGAAAAGAAGAAGACACATGAAAATCCTTGCTTTTCAATGGTGATATCTTCGCTCCAAGTGTTGAGCGCAAGTACAAACAAATCTTTGCTCCAAGTGTTGAGTTGCAAGTACGAAGAAGTCTTCGCTCCAAAAGTTGAGCCGCAAATATTTCATCAAATCAAAAATATCATTGAAGAGAAGAATCAGGGGATTACATATCTCTTCTTAAAGATTTTTTATAAAGATTGTAACCTTCGCATAAATAGAAATGATGTTTGCTTGCCATTTTCCTTTCCCGTTTGATGTATTTTAGGATTTAAACTTTAGACATGTCACGACCCAAATCCGGGCCGTGACTGGCACCCACACCTACCCTCCTATGTGAGCGAACCAACCAATCTAAACCTTAACATTTCAATATAATATCAACAGAAAGTAATGCGGAAGACTTAAACTCATTAATAAAATCAATAACTATTATTATCCCTAAAATCTGGAAGTCATCATCACAAGAACATCTATGATCAAATTACTAAACTAAGAGTATTCTGAAAGCTAAAACAAGTAAAAGCTAGTCCATGCCAGAACTTCAAGGCATCAAGACATGAGGAAGAAGATCCAGTCCAAGCTAGAAGCAGTAGCTCACCCTGAAATCCGAAATAATGAAGACTGGCTAGAGTTGCGGTTGAGTTGAAGACGATGACACGTTTGCTGCACTCCACAAATAACAAAGGAGAAAACATAAAAGTAGGGGGTCAGTACAAACACAAGTACTAAGTAGATATCATCGGCCAACTCAAAATAGAAATCAATATATACCAAGTAATATCATAAAATCAACTATGATACTCAACATGTAGCAACAACAAGTACTATATCATTAACAA